ATTCCATGACCTCCGCCGGGTTTGAACCCGTGTACCTTGAGTCATGAGGTGGGAACGTTACCCCTAGACTACGGAGGCCACTTTAGGAGACTAAGTGTACATGGGAGTATTACATTAAAGTACATCCTTAAGAGATGGAGATTGTGACTGGATTGGGCTGCCCCAGGATGAGGTCAGCTGTCAGCTTTTATGAACAGAGATGAACCATCAGGTCCAATCAAAACTGGACATTTCTTCATCTGCTGAATATAGACTGCTGAAGGACAGCTTTATTCTATAAATGTGTGTTTTTGTGTGTTTGCAGACATGCTCTCACATGTGTGCAAAGTAATGTAAGGTGAGATGAAAGCTATGAAATTCTGCAGTATGTGGTACCACAGCAATGAATTGACAGAATTATCTGTCAGATGTTAACATGTTGGTTGAAGGGAGGGAGCAGCCCTTTGTTTCAGTGTGTCATTTGTATTCTTTTAATAGTGATAATACGTGTATTTTGGTGTGGATATGTGAAGTGAATGGGTATAAAAGGTGCTGTGTACAATGAGCTGTTTATGTGTATTATTCATAGGATATGGTGTAAAGCAGTGTCCCTGACATGTTATTTCATAAGATGTAGGACTGGAAAGGAGGATATGTTAATAGTGCAGATGCTTATATAACAAATATTGAGACTTCCCACTGAATTCTCATTTGGTGTTACATCAGTGTGTGCGCATGCATGCGTGCACATTCATAAGCAGAAATATGCATATGTTTATAGAAAGAAGGTAGAAATAGAGACTTAATTTAAGAATTGCAGTGATGCTGATACACTGTAATCTTTTTGGAGGGATATAGCTTGATTCACTATGCAAGTTTATGTAGAACATAACATAACTGGTTTCTCATCTGCATAGCCACCTCTAACCACATACATGCTCATATGTTTAACAGTGATCATTTTCTATCTTCTTCACATTTATTCTAACCTAGTTTTAAGAAAGTGTTCTTAATAGAGCTGAATATATGCCTCCTTGCTATGCTTTTGAACCAGCTGGTCATTTGTCCTGGAACTTTGTTGGAAGGTCTGGGATAGTTCTGACTGCAGTAAAGTTTGTAATGTCTCGAGTAAAATAAAGATTCATTATGTGCAACATTTACAGAAGTACCATGTTTCAGGTCAAGATAATAAAGATAGATGAAATGTAGGTTAATCATAGGCCATCCTAGGTGCATTTGTGGTTTGATAAAATACTTTCTGGCATCTATTTCCACATGATGCCAGCATATCCACTGATTGTACCACTGTTGGAAGCAGAAGAACTGTTTTTAAGTCAGCAAGTGCAGGCTGTTTTTGTTCTTAAACTGTGTGTCACCCAAAGGTTTTCCAGAAAGTCTTGACACATACACATAATTGAGCTTTTGCCCATGAGTCAACAGAAAGCATACATTTTACAGCAATCTATTACATGTAGATTTGCCAAGATGCTGTGGCATGATCCAAATGAGAGTCCTAGCTATTAGCCAAGTTGCATACAGTGAGACATCCGTTTTCTGAAAAGTTCCTTGATTTGCTCTATAATTTTGCCTGTTTTGCCTCTGGCGTGTGCAAATGTTCTGCATGGTTAACTGATATCACTCCACTTAAGAACTTGAAAAGCAATTTAATTCATGATTTCTTCTCATTATTTTCTCTCCAAAAAGCATGTTTTAACATCTCACAGTTTTATGTAGTTTGAAGCAGACATTAATGCACAATTTCACAAGATGTTACTTCAGAGTGATGCAGCCCACAGCTTTGAGATGAGCAGCAAATGAATCAGCAGATTTAGCATTGCCTCATCTGACAGAGGAGTTTGTCCTAACAGCAGTAGTATCATATTTTGCCAGTCAGTAAACTAATTGATTAAACCATATAAACTAATGTATGTAAGAGATACATAGAAGACAAGAAGGAGCATTCTGTTAGGGGTGTGCATGCAAAGTGACAGTCAAAGCTCTTGTGCCATGCACATAGAATAAGCTTATAAATTTGAATTCCTTTAGGCAGTGTAGACATGTCACAAAATAAAAGTCTGTACAGGAGAGTTGTAAAGGTTCAGCCAGGTGGATTCTAGGACCAGATGATGGTAATGGTAAGAAGAAGAAGAAGAAATATTTGAAATAGTGCTAGTAGTCTTCAGCATGACAGTATGACAAACTGAGAAAGTCTTACACATTTCTTATTTTTCTGTGTTTGTAAATGTAAAACGAATTTTGTCTGATAAAAGGTCTGTGTATGTCAGTAATGTTTGTTTCGTCTGTGTGAGACAGTTGTCTCAGGAACTTCATTGTGACTGATTAGAAGTTTACTTTCAGTTCTGGCCAACCCATTGTTGCTGCTTTACTTATTGTCATATGATTTTTATTTGTATAATTAATCAGGCTCCAAGTCTGAACGTTATAATATGTATAGATATACTTTGTTTTACAGTGAACTGTTTTGAGAGATTGGATATTGACTTTGTTTGGTTTCTACAAAGAGACATATTAAAAATTAATACTGTAGGCTGGACATGGTTAGGGGTGTTCTTGCATAAGGTTGCAATGGTGTGTCTGCCATTACCACAATGCAGTCATATTTTACACTATAAATTACCTGGAAATTCGTTAAATTATCACATTTTTGTAATCATCACATACAGAAGTTGCACACTGTTGATTCATCAACTTTTCTTACATTTAATTTATTAACTTTGCCCATTCTGGAAGGTGTAGGAATATTGAATTATATGCAGTAAAAAGTGACAAGAAAATGTTAATCATTGTTCTGTGTTTAGCTATGTGTATTGATCTCAGTTACATGGTAAGCCATTCAGCTATTTAATTAAACAGGAATGGCAGTTGAAAAGCGTTACGTAGAATGCCAAGCTGAATGTCAGAATCAAGGAATTCTTTGTATATGCAGAGGTGAGCAAGGATAAGCCTTGTGAACTGGAAAAATATTCACAGGAGGATAGTCTTAAGCATAAAATTGGCGGTTGGAGACTGCTCCACCTAGTTACAATAAAATCAGAGCTTTATTCTGTAAAGAATTACGATAAATACAGTTATTTCAGCCTTATTTTTATTGTGTTGTGTTGTACCTATTATGTTTTGTATTTGAAGTGTCAACATATCAACAGTAATTATATATTATGCTTGTGTAAATGGTGGTATGGCAAGCACTAGCTCTCATATAATGTTTTCCTGCCAACAAGGGAGACATTTGACTCAACTACAGATATCGCTTAAGCATGAATATAATGTGACCCCTTATTTTTCCATTGAGAAAATCAGACAAAGATATTACAAAATTGAATATGTCATTTAGTTTTCAGGGCTGTAAGCAGAAGGATTTAAAAACTGTAGTATTAGGAAATAATTAATTCAGAATTTAAGTACAGCTGTAGGTATTTTCACAAATATCATTACAATTAGCAACTAGAACTTTTTCACCATCTTCATGTATATTCTTAAGGATCCCAAAATAAGGCGACTTCGTCTTGAAGAAGGAGTTTAAAAAACACCTTGCCCTACATTCAGGATAGTAAAGTAAACGTCACACTTGTGCTTCTCACAGTATTAATTTGAATGGCATATGCATCATATTGGACTCAAGAAAGCACACTCATGTATTAGCACTCTGAAGTGCATGCACAATATTAAGTTAAAAACCTTAGAAACTTGAAGAGGGAGCCCTCCAGAATTGTCTGGATATCGACTGACTAACTTAAATACAAACATGTAAAGTGAATGCAGGTTCATTTATCTTTATCCTTTCAATCTTATTTTAAGAAACAGGCCTACTTAATGTGTGAGGCTAGTTTACGTGGTGGGTTTGCATTTGTGTAACTCCTGATTGGAAGGCTTAATCTTGTGTAGCCAGAAGAAGAAACTCATTGAAAGTTGCTTGGGTACCCTATTAATACCTTTTCTATCTTTGAACCAAAGTGTTTCATAGATTTACAAATACTGATAACATACAGTGACTGTAATTACCTCATATTTGTCAGTTTCCATGTGTTAATTTGCCATGAATCAGTACTTGGCAGTGTGAACTGGAGCTTGTGGGACAACAGTGGAAGTGACAGCTCCTTTACTGCTAGGCCTAATGCCATATACTGTCAAAGATTGATAAGCTGCTTTATAAAAATTGAATGACACGTGAAAAAAGCACAAAATGATCATAATCAAATATTTTATATGGCTGAGTCATCACTTAACATGCTGTTCCTCAACCAGATAGTGGTCATAGTTTTGCATAGGTTCAAACAGTACTCTTACTCTGGTTATGTGAATGTCACTACAGAATTTATGAGGAGCTTCATTCATTCTGTGTGTGAAATGCCATTTAGTTCATTAAAACCAAGGGGCTCCGCTTCATGTAAATTCAGTCATACCTGTAGTATCCATTATCGAGAAAAGAATACAAAGTGCAGGTTTCAATAAGCTTTTCTGGATAAGCAGTATGGAAATTATGAAATGGACACCAGCTGATGATAGAGAGACTGTTACTGGCATATCCACCTCCCAGCAGTGCTAGTACTGCCAGTAACGTGTGCTGCACTCTGTTAGCCCTCGGACAGTTTTATTGTCTACAAAGGTTTAGAGAAAATAGGCTTTCCGAGACTGGTAACACTGTTCATCATATTACTCTCTAATTGTGAAAGTTTCTGATATGCTAAACAATATAATCACAACAGATATATGGATCTACATGTAAACATCCACTCCCACATACACCTTCATGGCATAGTGCTTAATCAGTTAAGCACACGGTCAACTTTACCTTATTATCACACAACAAAAAATCAGCTGATCATTGTGCTTATTCTGCGTCCTCAGATAACTCAAGTGTACTGGTAAGGAAAAGGCTAAAGCATTTGCATATGGCATGATGTACACAGCTCTAGCTACCTTTTTCCCATAGACGTGGCTTTAACCAATAAATACAAAGGCATTCTTTGATTATAAATTAAAGTGTACACTTTGTTCTGCAGGGGAATCTGGTCTTGGGAAGTCCACACTTATGAACTCCATGTTCCTGGCTGACATTTACTCAGCTGAATTCCCTGGGCCATCACATCGAATTAAGAAAACCGTACAAGTGGAGACTACAAAGGTTCTGCTCAAAGAGAATGGGGTAAACCTAACACTCACTGTAGTTGACACGCCTGGCTTTGGTGATGCTGTTGACAATAGCAACTGGTTAGTAGTCCTTGTAAGACATGCAGATGTTAAACCAGCAGTATGTCAAGTGGATTAGTGCTTTCTGTTGAGACTTCGTGTTAATGAACCTAGCCTTGCTAAGAATGGAAAACTGTTGCTTCAGATTGCACATGGACAACAACAGTATACATTACATTAGTAGGTGTGAACCCTGTTTTACTTTATAGGTGCACAACTTATATGAGGGCTATTCAGAAGGTAACCTCTGGTGAGCTGTTAGCAAAACAAACAATTGGGGGAAAAATTATGTAGAAAAAATACTTACATACTTAAGCTACTTCTCAGTGTAGTCACTGCTAGAATTGAGGCACTTGTCATATCGGTGAATAAGTTTTTGTATTGTGTCAAAAACGTCTACTGCCTGTGAGCTCAGCGATGTTTTAACACCTTCCATCAACTCATTATTGTTGGAGCGCTGTGATCTCAACCAGTTCTTCAGGTAGCTAAACAGGTGGAAGTCACCTAGATGGAGATCAGGGTGTAGGGAGGGTGATTGGACAACTTCCAGTTGAATGCTGTGACAGTGTTTGAGTGTGAGCAACTGTATGCAGACATGCGTTGTCATGGAGAAGCACTACGAGTACACTGTATGTCAGTATTCCACATCTTTTGTTCTGAATGGCCCTACACAGTTTTCTTAGTGTTTTACAATGCATTTCTGAACTTATTGTAATCCTTTGCTGCGAGAATTTCACCCACAGCTCATCTTTCATGTCCCAGAAAACAATTGCCATCAGCTTTCTGGCAGGCAGACAGTGTTTGTTTAAACTTTTTGGCTCGTTTGGTGAATGTGTGTGCATCCACTGCTTTGGCTGCTCTCTGTTTTCAGCGTTCACAAATGAAACCCAGGTTTCGTCACCTGTTACTCATATCATGTGATTGACAAATGCATCACCATCTTTATGATGTCGCTCTAAAACGTCAAAACCCAAGCCATTCTCTACTTTTTGTGAGCACCCATGAGTATATTTGGAACCCATCTTGCTCAAAACTTACGATAGCCTAGCTTAACTGTGATAATCTCACAGAGGAGTGCACAAAATTTGTGAAAGTTCACATGAAAGTTCTGAAATTGTAAAGTTTCATCTTTCAGAAATTTTTGGGTCAACATTTTGAACAAGATCATTGCTCACTCCAGAAAGCCAACCACTTCACTCTTCATCATGAACATTTGGTCACTCATCTTTGAACATTCTACACCCTTGTCTTACAGTTCCTTCACTCATTAAATTTTGGCCGTAAACTGTGCATAATTCACAATTGATTTCTGCAGCACTCGTGTTTTTGGCACGAAGAAGGTGGATGACAACATAAATTTTGCAGCTGGCAGGATTATCAATTGCAGGACACATCATAACTCATTCTGTAGAGACAACAACAAATACTAAGTGACCAGTTACATGATGGTTTACAAGGAAATGAGTCATGGGTAGGGACCGGATTTTTATGCCCTAATAATCCCTTAAATATGTATGCATTTATGCATGAAAAGCTTCTGAAATATGCACATAAAAATTTATGCCAAATATTAAAATTGATTTTACGTTATTTTAAGACCAACAACAAATCAGTATTTAAGTTCATTTTATATAATCACTCAATGATTCACTTGCAATAAAAAGCTACACTTAAATACAAATCATGCAACAAAGCCAACATATTTCGTTACAAATTTAAAAAACCAATGGTACTCACATTTAGCTCTCTGAACTTTCAACTTCTCTTCTGTTGCCATTCACAGATACTAAATCTTCTAGGTTTTCCGTAGTTAGTTGCCTCCTATTGTCTCGTAAGATGTCATAGCGGGAAAAACTTCTTTCCACCTCACAGGAACTTAGGGGCGCATGTACAAAAGCTGCTATTTGCTCCACTGTTAGTGATTTTTTACTTGGCAGTTCAGTACGTTTACCGGCTAAGATTTCTTCAATTTCACAAATTTGTTCATATCCTGGATTTTTTAAAGAATGCTGTGTACTTTTTCCTTTACTACTACACCAACTCTTCCAGGAACCGAATTCAATTTGGAAACAGTGGTTTTGAAGACACTATTATTAGAAAATTCACTAAGCAATTTTTGAACAGGAGCACTTTTCATGAATTTTATTTTAATATTCTCTTTGTGTATATTAGTGTTCAAATGCTGAAGCACTTGAAAGCATTTTGCACAGCCAACTGTTTTTCCACATGCTGGGCAATAAAGAATTTCGTTATCCGTACTTATCATCTCTCCTTCGAACTCCCGCTGATACAGCTGTAATTTAGTTTTCTGACTTACTTTCACTTTCGGCATGACTACAAAAACCTAAACAAACTTAACTACAAACTGGTCACCACTAATGTGAATGGCCCCCAGCTTCAAATGAAGAAGCGTAACGAATCTCATGGAGAAATAAGTGAAATCCCTTATCGGTTGAATAGTATTACGTTGATAGCAGCTACATGGGAACGCTTCCGACTAATCTCTTCTTTGATGGTACGCAGATGAGGCAAGTTACGAGTAGAGGGATCGGGGAAGTCCCGTCCTGGGTATTGCATCAAAAACGTGAATCATGACGAAATGTTGAGGCAAATATGCAACATATTCTAATACAGTAAACAGAAATTCTGTACACACGACCATGATTGAAAATTTGAACATAAAATTAAAAAATATATATGATAAACATTTTAAAAATGAAATATGCAGTATAAAGAGAACTCTTCGAAAATATGCTGCTTATTCGTAAAACAGGCAAAACCCATGTCCAAAATTTAAGAAATGAAGTAATTCATAGGTATATCCTAATGATCATACTTTCTGGTTGCAAGAAAGAAATATGCATTTGCATTAAAATCCGGTCCCAAGCCACGTGACACTACCTTGCATGCACAAGCTCACCCCTGCACCTACATTAGTTGCCTAAAATAAGCGGCGTTTACTTTCTAAGTAGCCCTCATATCATACATGCTAATGCAAGTTGTTTCTACACAACATATGAAAGAGTCCAATAAATTGATCATGAATTGATCAGGATTGGCTGCAGGTGATAAGAGAATATTTTATTAGGGTGTGAAACTTGGTCACCGACATTACGGGAGGAACGTAGACTGAGGGTATTGAGGAGAATATTTGGACCGAAGAGGGATGAAGTTACAGGAGGTTGGAGAAAACTGCATAATGAAGAGCTTCATAACTTGTACTCTTCTCCAAGTATAATTAGAATGATGAAGTCAATGAGGATGAGGTGGGCAGAGCATGTAGCATGAATGGGGGGGAACAAAGAATGCATATTGGTCTGAGAAAACCAGAAGGAAAGAGACCACTGGGAAGACCAAGGCATAGGTGGGTGGACAATGTTAAAATGGATCTTAGAGAGAGAGGATGGGATGGTATGGATTGGATTGATCTGGCTCAGGATATGGACCAGTGGAGGGGTCCTGTGAACATGGTAATGAACCTTTGGGTTCCATAAAATGCTGGGAAATTCTTGAGTAGCTGCAGATTTGGCTTCTCAAGAAGGGCTCAGCTCCGTAAGTAATTAAGGGCACTCAGTTAAAAGGACAAACAACAGAGGTTTAGAAATAAAAATGACTAGATCTAATGAAATCTGCAGCACAGTAAGAAGAACACTGAATAATAAGACAAGAAAAGAGAGAGAGAGATACTGTTTTGTAAAGCTGTGATGGTACCTGCAGCTACATACAGGTCTCAAATAATGGGCTATTTCAAAAAAATGGGAATTGAAATTACAGAAACGAAATTCTTGAGGATGTAGCAGGCACACAAGGAAGGACTAAATAAATACTAAATTAGGGAAGGGCTGAGTATCGTAATCTAAATGATAAAATTCTAAACTACAGAATACATTGGAAATATCATGTATAACAAATATAAGACAGATGGATTCTGAAGACAAAACATAGGATGCCCACAGTTAAGATGGAGGGACCATCATACTTTTCAAGAGGATGGAACAGACCACGCATGGCCTAATCCATGTCTTATTTACAAATTTAGTACACCTTAAGCTCTCTGCTTTCAGATATTTACTTTTGCTGTTTTCTTAAAGAGCTTGTTGAGAAAGTGGTCATGCATCCAACAATACCTCTTAACCCCAGTCTTGCCACGTAGCTTGGTTGGCATTGTCTCAAGAATTCTCTACTTAATGTGTGTATGTATATGTAAAAGGTTAAATACAGTCATTACTAGGGCCCGGATTTTTTGATAATGCATATGCGCATATGCAAATGCATATTTTGAGGGTTTTTGGTCGTTATTGCATATTCAAAACATAAGAGCATATTTCTGCATATATGTTTGAAATTAAGGATAATTAAGGATGAGACAACCGATTTATGTGGCCGATGCATAGCACATTTCGTAGTTGTTAAGCTACATCCAGACGAACCCGGCAACCCTCACCTTCTTGCTTGCAAAGTACTAGAGAAAACCAACCACAGCACAATAGCAAGATTTCTAAATGATTCTCTGTGACTACTATGGCCATCTAAAATTGAGAGTATTTGTTGTAATGTGCTTGTATTGCACACAGATGGAGCTTTCTATATGTTGAAAGCAGCAAAGGCCTTACAAGTATTTTATCCAAATCTTATACACGTAACCTGTTTAGCGCACGGATTACACCGCATTGCAGAAAAAATACATGCACAGTTTCCAGCTGTTAATGATTAAATTGCAAGTGGAAAAAAAAAAACTGTTTCTGAAAGCACCAGCTCATGTCCAGTTCTACAGAGATTGCTTACCTCAGGTTCCTCAGCCACCTGAACCTGTCCTAACTAGGTGGGGTACGTGGTTATCCGCAGTTTCATTTTATCAGGAGAATGTCAATCAAATAAAAAAGTGGGTACAGAACTTGAAGATGAGTATGCATGTGTCCATGAAGCAAAAGCAGTGTTTGGAAGTGATACTGTTTATCAAGATGTGAATTTTATCCATGGACATTTTTCTACAGTTTCAAAAGCCATTGAGAGCTTAGAATCTTGTGGTGCACTCCTTCACAACTCACTTGAACTCGTTCAGAAAGTAACTTGTTCAGTGAATTCCTCTCCAGGCGAAATTGGAGACAAGATTAAATGCAAGATAGAAATTGTGTTGAATTCGAACCCAGGACTAAAAAAAGATTCACTTAGTCAGTACTTGAGTGGAATTAGGGTATCTTTGCCAGATGAATGTTCCGAACCTTCGGCGCCAGTGTATAAATACTGCCCAGTCACGTCAGTTGGTGTAGACAGATCATTCTCAGCCTATAAACTCATTTTGACGGAAAATAGACGAAGTTTGTCTCCAGAAAACACTGAGACTTCTACTTGCCTATTGTGATGCTACTTTCTGCAGTAAATGATACATGTAAATAGGTGAGTCTGAATAAAGTGACCTGTTTCTTAAGTGCGTATTGTTTTATTTTTGGTCATATTTTCCCGCTTTTTGGTGCATATTTTAAGTGTTTTTAGCTCATGAAGATCTGGGTCCTAGTCATTACATATGTTTAACCAGGCAACTCTATGAAGCAAGGTGACTATGCCATAGCTCTGGTTGATAGTTGGTGGCTTCCCACTGTGGCAGCCTGGGTTTAGTCCCAGGTCATGTCATGTAAGATTTGTGGTGGATAAAGTTGCAGTGGGGTGGGTTTCCTCCAAGTAGATGTATAAACTTATGAAGGTACTGTTAAATTATAACATGAAATGTTATTTTTGTAATTAAAATAATTTGTTGATAATTCATCATATTTCAACATCAGTCAGTCATTATGTTGTTAAAGTTGCTCAAGATGTTTTATGTGATCATTTATGTCTTCTAAATGATCCTTAGTAATGTAAGTGATGTAACAGCATGTTATGATATAAACTAAATTTTAAAAATTCCTGTATCCAATTCAGGGATGTTGGAGTATTCCAGATTTGTACATGAACGTATATAGACCATACCCTCCGCAATAAATTATAGTTGTGTATGTTGAAAAGTTATGTAAAATTAAGGTGACATTTACTTCTTCGTCAACATGGACGTCTCTCTTTTGTTGTATGTGAAATTACTGGGGCCGTATATCTGTGTGTGTGAGTATAACAACAGCATGAAGCTTTGTGAATATGACAGGACCTCAGAAAGTTACTCTAATCTATGTGGAGCACTGTGCTTAGAGTTCATTTTTATTGTGTTTCAGTTGGCAGCCTGTAATAGACTACATAGAGTCAAAGTATGAGGAGTACCTGAATGCAGAATCACGTGTGAACCGTCGCACATTAGCTGACAACAGAGTACACTGTTGTCTATACTTCATTGCCCCATCAGGTCATGGCCTCACACCTCTTGATGTAGAGTTCATGCAGAGGCTGCACGATAAAGTCAATATCATCCCAGTCATTGCTAAGTCTGACACCATGACACCAGATGAATGCAGTCATTTCAAGAAACAGGTGACTGGAGAAGATTTAATTGTACTTGCTTTCCCAGCACTGGCATTTGATACTCGCTGAAGCTCATTATGTGCATGCACACAGATTTTAACAGTTATTTTTCTGTATTTAAAATATACCATATAAAACAACTGTTACTACTTGCATTGATATTTAAAAAACCCATGCTGTGCCTAGAATAACCATTTAAAGCCTGCACTGCAAGCCTGCTATAGCAAAAATTACTTGAAATGTAAAGTTCTCAAGAACTACTAGAACATTGAAGTAAAGTCAGTCCTAATGGTTTCTGATGATGGTGTATTACACTTGGAATTACTGTGTTTCTAGACATTGTCCATCATCCGCTATTCTAAAAAGAGGTCATTTTTAGAATTTTCTGAAGAATTTAAAGGCTGCTGCTGTTTTCATCATAGTAGTAATGGCAGTAGTGAATTAAGGTCTTTCAGCATAGAAGCCATATTTTGACATTTTACTTAGTTGAAACCTGAAAAAGTTTTAAGAGTCTGCAATTATATCTGATATACTTGTCGTTTATTTTGTGGGCTTTCCTTTCTAGTACAACATTGTGCCTCTCAAAGCAGTCAGCAACAGGAAGAACTGATTGCACTTCCATATGTGTTACCAGAAGATGTCTTGGTGCCTTTGCATGTTGTTAGAGAGGTCTCCCTGTGTATCATAATTTGGTAGAACCATAGTGTCTGCAGTCTTCTGCAGGATGAAACCAGTAGTTCACTGAATGCTTTTTCTTGTCTTTGTTTTTATGGATTTTATCGGGAATTTTGTAGGTGTTGAAGAATGCAGTGACCATGTAAAACATATGTAAGATTTGAGGTTTTCACGATGGTGACTATGAAGAAAGCAGTCTTCTGGGATGTGCCACTTTGTAGATGTGTTAACCGATGTTTCAGAGGAATGTATCGCCTCCATCTTGAAGGTAGAAGGAAAAATAAGAAATCAGCAAGCAAAGAGACCGTGAGACCCGGTACAAGCAGACTGGTGTTGGAAATA